TGTCAGATTTGGAGAACCTGGGCCACACCTCGCACCTGCCTCTGCTCTGAGAGCTGTAGCAACTCCAGGTTGGACTCCAGGTTGGTCTTGTCTGTTGTGACAGTTTTGTGACTTCCCTCTTCAGGCAGCTGCCTCTGCCTGGCTCTTGCACTCTGCCCTCCCAAATTACTAGACCTTCCAGCAGTTAGAAATCCTGTTGGGGGTGGGAGGTCAGGAGCCATGAAAAAGGAGTTTGCTTGTCACTGTAGGTACTTGCTTTTTTTTTTTTTTTTTTCCTGCCAGATGTGGTACATCTTGGTGTTCCTGGCATCAGACTGGTGGGGCAGCAGGAAATGGGAAATGCTAGTCTGGTCCCTGGGAATTCACTGGGCATTATTCTATTGTTGTCCCACCCAAACCTTGCTGGTGCCAGCACCCTAGGTGGGAGAGGGGAAGGGCATTTCTAAAGCAAAGCCAGAGTGACAGCCATGAAACCCAGTAGGTTCCTAGTCCCATGGAAGCTACACCACCGTTACAGGCAGTTTTATTGATGAGCTGTGGGAAGAAGATGCGAAGTCTTTCTTCTGAGTTTCCATATTTGGATGCATCAAGGAAAGAAGGTTGTGTGTTTGGGAGGTATCTTTAGGTGTGTCCCTCTAAACAATGGCAGTCCCCAAGGATAAAGTTTGCAGCTGAGGGATCTGTGCATTCTCCCTTTTCCTGTCTGATCCAGTATTAACTTACTGGGCAGTAAATTCATTTCTGAACTAGCTTGCTTATTCCAGAGAGCAAAAAGGAAGTCAGTATTTGCTTTTTCAACAAGGCCACAGGTCACTTGACCCGAGTCCTTCAACAAACAGCTGGGAAGCGGACTGCACTGTGCTGAACTCAGCTCCATTCCTGCAGCTTGAAGTGGGCCTCCTGGGAGCCCAGTCCTTCCTGCTAGGGCTCTGCAGAGTGGGGGGTGCTTGAGGAGGCTGATGTGTACACAGCTTGCTTCCCAACTGCCTGTCTTCTCCAAGAAGCCCCAGATCCAGCCACTGCAGTATGAGCAAAATAAAAGAAACACTTGAAGAAAAATGTGGAAATGGAATTAATGAGATTGTGTTAATGTGTGCCTTGCTAAGCCGGAGTCCTCCATACCCCATTTCCTGGTGGATGGAGAGTAAGCCTGGTTAAGAACTCAACAGGCAGAGACTTTTAGGAGTGCATCTCACTTTGGTACCCCAGCCCCAAACCTCCCTCCCTCTCACTGTTGAGCTGATGCCTCCAGTACCACTTGGAAAATCGGGGTCCTTGGATGGGGAATGAAAGCTCTTCTCTCATCATGTGATCAGGGCAGGGTCACCCCAGGTATGGGAGGCATTCTTTTCTCTTTTGGAAAGAGGGCCTTGACTCTGCCAGGTGATCACGAAGGGACCGGTGGGGCTGCTCTTTGGTATGCTACCAGGCTAAATATTTGACTTTCTAAGGTTGAATTGTCCAGGAATTCTGTGGCAGCAAGGCTGTGCATTGAGCCAGGCTCTCTTTTCAAGGAAATCCAAGGTGCTGTTTATTTTGGCCTGCAGCCTGTTCTGTGATGAAAAGCGGCATTTTTATTATTGCAGAATAAAGAGGGGTTTTGAAGAGAACAAAAATGCAGACCCAGGTCTCAGTTTCAGGACTAAGGAAGGAAAGCTTTCTTTATATTTCGACTTGAGGTTAAATGAGGATTGAAAATGGCGTCATAAAAAGAATAGATGTGGATGGGGGAGGGAGGGAGGGAGGGAGATGTGCAGGAGTTGGGCTGACCTGAGAAACCACTTCTCACACGGCCTGGCTGCACAGGGACCGTCATCGCTGACACTGACTGTCTTGGCCCTTTCTCCTCACTGTCCCTTAAGTTCCCAAGGACACTTGCCATCCTGCTCCTAATTAACCGGGGAACTTGGAGTTGGCCACACAGCCTCTGGCTGCCTCTGTGTCCTCATCTATAATTTAGAGCCAGCTCCCAGGCTGGCTTGCTTTGAGGGAGGGCATGAAGTGACACCTAGTGCTTGGCACCTGTTCTTTTCTTTCCATGGGTTCCGTTTGCAAATGGATAAGCTTGTTCCCTCTTTTACTCGTTTAAAAACCTTGCACAGTATGTCCAACACATTGTAAATGTGGGGAGTCCAGGTGATACAGGAATGCATCTTGGGAGGATTCTGACCTTCAGAAACTTGCTGATAAGGAGAGAAGAGCCAGAAAGAGATAAAGCCGTGTGCTCTCCAAAGGTGAAGAATATAATGAGCCAGCGAGAAAGGCTGGGCTCTAATTGGGGAATCCTTGAGCCTGGGACAAACCCCAGACAACAGCAGCAGATGATAAAAGATCTTCAGACTGGATACAGCCTAGCATTCTGGTTTTAAAATGCTGTGTATCAAAGTTTAAATGCTCTAAGACTGTTGCGGGATTTAAAGGGAGGGGGGGACGTCCGGCAAAGCTATCCTCATACTCATGTTGTGTTCAAATACGTGTGGTAGTTATCCTTTTCCACTTACCTAACCATCAAACGCCTGCCCGACTCCAGGGAATCCCCCTGAGCCAAACTCCACCATGTGTACTGTAAGAATCAAGAAGTGGACCCAGCTTGGGGGGTGGGGGTGGGGAAGGAAGGGGTGAATTCCTTCATTTCCTTTCTGTGTTTTGAGCCCTTTAGAATGAAAAGTTGCAGGGCCCTTCCTCAGAGAGCTGGCTTTCAACTCCACTTAATATCTGTAGCTTTGACAAGATTAGTCTTAGTGGATGAGAACCTTAGAGGCCTCCATAGAGTTTTTCATCCTGAATCAGGTCCAATGTGTGTGGAAAAATCCCCTGAAGTCATCTGAGTCCACCTTTACTGGGCCGCATTCAGAATTCTAGCCAAAGGTGATAACTAATGTCCCCAAGTGCTGGTTAGGGCTCACAGCCACAGGTCCAGCTACACGTGGTGGCATCTCACCTTAGTGAAGCAGCCTCAGGGGACTCAAGCAGTCCTCCTCCTTTTCATGAATTGAGTAATAGAGGAAGAAATATCAGCCAGAAAAGATCCCCTCCTGAGGAGACAAGGGACAGTCACAACAACGGTGAACTGGGCTGGCCCATGGGACAAACAGGTGTTTACAACCATGTAGCCCTGGCACTTGGACTCAGCTAGGTTGGAGCCTGGGTTGTCACACTTCATCACCTGCTGGTTGTCACTGGATCACCTGCTAGTTGTGGACCTTCAAGCTTAGCCTCCGTCTTCCCTATCTGAACAATGAGAACGATAATCCTACTGGGTTACGGTAAGAACTATATGAGATAATTTTGAGTATGTTAAGTGCTTCCAACCCCACCTGTGGCTCGCTGATGGCTCAGGATGTGGGGGAGCAGGAAGCAGAATAAAGATTAAAATGGTGGAGGAGGAACAAAAAAAATATCACTTCCCACTGTGCACCCTCCCCTGCTTGCCATTTCACCCCCAGAGGCCGCAGGTAAGGAGTCATGGGAGAGGCAGGACAGTCCTTTGCCTAGGATTGTCCACTTTACCACAGGGCCAACCCTTCTTCAGCCCCAAGTTAGGACCTTCCATGATTTTCCATTGTTCTCATTCAAGGCCACTCTTAGCTCCGAGTCCTGCCATCACTGTGATCTGGCTTGTCTGTTGCAGCTCTATTCCCTTCCAGAGTCAAGGGCTTGGTGGTCAAGTGCTCGTGAACTCCCAACCAAGTGCAATGATCAGCATTGGCATTTTTGCCAGAGTGTCTCTGCTTCCACAAAACATGTCTGCCCTTTGAGGCTCAGCCAGACAGCAGAGGGAGAAGCCCCGTGGCAAGTGTGTGTAGACTGTGTGAAGGATCCCAGGTAGAAAGCAGGGACCAGGCTTGGGAGACACAGACAGCACTCACAGAGTTTATGTTACACTTAGTATTGGACAATCCTGAATCACCTGGCAGGCAATAATATCACTGGCTTTCACTTTCTACCCTCTGGTGTATGTGTGTCCCGGAGGGTCATTGTTCCCAGACCCTTCCCGATTTGCTAATCTACTGTTCTCTGTTCTGGCTATTACCAGCACATTAAAATTCCTAAAACCACACTGCTGCTGGAGATAATTCACTACTTTTTTTTTGGGGGGGGGTTGAGACAGGGTTTCTCTGTGGCTTTGGAGGCTGTCCTGAAACTCACTGTGTATACCAGGCTGGCCTTGAACTCACAGAGATCTGCCTGCCTCTGTCTCCCGAGTGCTGGGATTAAAGGTGTGCCCTACCAGCACCTGGTGATAATTCACTATTCTAATGTCAATTGGCTGATAATCATAAAAAGCCAGTTTCTGGGCCATTTATTGTAAAGGGATAGGAGCTAGAGAGGGTCCTAGGAATGGATTAAAACTTGGAAGATTATGGTCAAATCTTAAGGTTGACTAATTCAGAGTAAAGACAGCATTCTTCTTGGGAAGTTCCTGATGTCTTCTGGCCAGATGGGTTGAACTTCCTCTTGTTCTTCCCATGGTTATAAATCACTGCTAAGTACCAGCTCCTTGCCAGTCTTGACATTATCTCGTCTGTGTCTTGGATTTGATTGCAATGCCTTAAATCACCTGTAGGTACTCCATTCCAGAGTTTTCACAAAATGGATTCTGTCCTTTTTTCCCATGGCCTTCTTCTAGCTCCATCAGCTCTCTGCTGAGAGGCTTTGTAACCATTTGCCTAGCCTCGGTTCCCTCATTTCCAAATGAGGGGTTGAACTAAGTGCCTCTTTTAGTGTCAGCTATCTCTAGCATTCTGTGAAGACACACCCAAAATCAGGCTCGGGACTGTCTGGCTTTTAACTTTCCACATTGGGAAGCTAGTGTGTGAACATCCCTAGGAGAAAGGAGGGACTGAGTGTCACTTTCTTCATGCTGTGTCCTCAGCTTTAACTTATTCTAGTCTTGGCATTGCTAACTGTTTCTTTTTCTTTTCTTTCAGAACTCTCCACGGATTGCACAGACTCAGTGGATAGGAGGTGCCTGAGAGACTAAGCCCTGTTTCCATATGATGGAGAAGGCAGATGGTAGGCAGGCCATGTTCTGTTCCCTGGTTTAAAGAGTTAGTTCTTTTGGAAAGGGTTAATCACCACCAGTCCCTGAAATGGCTCTGTAGAGGTCTGTAGGAGGTTGGGTCTCCAAATGGGCAGTGCTAGGGGCCCAGAGCACCTGCTTCAGGTGTGAACCATGGTGGTGGGGGAGAATGAACGGGACATCTTTTTTGCAGGGGGAAGGGGAGTTGTTATTTTGGTTTTTGAAGATAGGGTTTCTCTACATAACAGCTCTGGCTATTCTGGAATTCACTCTATAGACCAGGTTGGCCTTGAACTCAGAGATCCACTTGCCTCTGCCTCCTAAGTGCCTGGATTAAAGATATGCACCATCACCACCTGGTGAGAGTGAAGTCTTGTGAAGTAAAAAAAAAAAATTAAACATGTATAATTAAAATATTTTTCTCTCATCCACCTACCAAGAATGCAATAGAGTCTCCTCCCTCATCACCTTTTTCATTTTTAAAAAACAGATGAGGGAATAAAAAGGTTTGTGACTTAAATAACCTTTAAGTTTTTAAAGGTTTATTATTTCTCAAAAGATTGTGGAAGTTAGTTGTTGGGGGCAGTATTCTAGTTTAGGCTGGTGTGGCTGAGCTCTCCTCGACCCATTCTTGTGATCTCCTAGATGGCTAGGCGGGGGCTGCATGATTTAAAATGGCCTGTTAGTGCACCTGATTGTTAACTCCTGGGCCATCAGTAATGACATAACCGCATGTCACTCATCATCCAGGATGATAGCAGGGCATATTTCCACATGGAGGCAGTGGAGTCAAGCACAGGGATAATAGACAAGTCTCAACAGACAGTCAGTATTCACATTTCTGTCTGTGTCAAGATTGTTGGTCCCTAACCCTCAGCCAAAGCCAGTCACAAGGATGATACAAGGGCCAGGTGGTAGAAGAGTTACTCAGGGGTGGTATAATATTGGACATTTTTTCCAAACTATCTATCATATATCATCTACAAATAGGTATTAATAGAGTATCTCCCAGGCTTGGTACATGTTAACCCCACTGATTGAGAATAAGACCACTACCACAACTTAAAGCCAAATTTGAAGCAGGCTTTAATTAAATACTAGCCAGGTGGATGCACTCTGTCCTGGTCCATACCCAGTTTCCTGGAAAATGGTTCCAAGTCACAGTTTTTGGTGGTTTAAGTAGGAAAACCCATAAGTCATTGCATTTTCCATCAGGTCCAATCAGGGGCAAGCATACATCCTGATGTATTTCCTGCCTGTGAACCTCCCGCCCACATGCAATCAAACACATCTGGTGCAGATGGGTCAAACAAACTTCTTTAGGGGAATGAAAAACATGTGGCTTGTTATCTCCCATAAGCAATGGCCTCCAGCATTTCAGGAACTGTCTGTCCTTGGACAAGGGGCTTACAGATCAGAGACATTTTTATTTCATGGATCCCTTGGTCATAATAACTAAAACTTAAAATGTAACTTTGGCTCTCATATACAGAAGGAAGCAAGATGCTGCACATTAACAAAAAATAAATAAATAAATAAATAAATAAATAAATAAATAAATAAACGAGTGATAGCTATCCAGCACAGTGAATGCTCCCAGAAAACATGCTTCAGGTGACAGCCTAGATGCCTTTTTCCGGGTCACCTGGTATCAGGAAATGGGAGAGCCCACAATCTTTCAATCACATGGCCCTCACTGGTGGCCCTTCTTAGTGGCAGGACGTAGGGCTGGAAGTCAGCTGCACCCCTCCATGTTGCTTTTTTCCAACTGCATTGCCCTTTATTTCAGGAGCCTGCCACTTCCGGCAGAGAACTGCTCTTCCAATGCATCCCTGGAAATGGTCCTGGCTCCACCTCCTCAGATATCACTTTCTTTCAGTGATTCAGCCACCCCCACCCCCAGTAACTCAAGAAAGGTGCCCCTTCCTTTGGGTACATCCTCTGGATCCTGACTTCTTCTGTTTCAGACAGGGTCTCATTGTGTATCCCTTGCTGTATAGACCAGACTGACCTTGAACTCACAGAGATCTGCCTGTCTCCTACATCTGCCTCCTGAGTGCTGGGATTAAAGGAGTGAGAAATCAGGTCTGCACTAGCTTGGATTTTCAAAGAAGTTCACTCAATATCCTTCCTTTCCAGCTTCACTTTTGGCCACTTCCTCTTAGTTCTGTTTTCCCCATTTCCTTCAGAAACTGATGACAGACATTTGAGCTTTGCTTTCTCTCTTTACCTCTGATTGACTCACTCACCTGCGGTCCTTCATTCACTTAACCTTTGAGGCAATGAATGACTGTTACTGCCTCCTTCTCCATCCCTTTCCTACCCATCCCCTCCCCCGTTTGTATGTGTGGGCATCCATCTGTCTAATGGCTGTGTTTGCAGGTTTTTTCCAAGTGCCTACCAACTATCTTTGCTTTTAGAGCAAGACAGTTCCCGGTACCTCTGAATCTTTTGTAGCTTGCTTTTTTTTCTTCTCTCCCTGATTCATTGTCCCAGTTTTCTTTTTCAGTTATTTGGGGGACTTTCACACACACACACACACACACACACACACACACACACACACACACACACACACACACACACCAACATACACCACCAACCTCTAATGCTCAAGTTGATGTGTGTGTGTGTGTGTGTGTGTGTGTGTGTGTGTGTGTGTGTGTGTAGGAAGATGCCTCTTAAACCTCTCACCTCTTAAAAAATGATGTATGTATTTATATGCTTATGTCTGAGTAAGCATATGCTCTTTGGGTGCCCGTGGAGACCAGCTAGAGTTACATTCAGTTATGAGCTGCCTGACAGAGGTGCTGAGATTGGAACTCAGGTCCTGTGGAAGAGCAACAAGCACTCTTAATTGCTGAGCCATCTCTCCAGACCCATAAACCTCTAACCTTAGGTATCTTCTCAGTCTCGGGCTCCTTTGGCTCCCCTTGGCTCTCAGCTGAAAGATTTTGCCTTTCAACACTGTTTCCTACTTGATGTCATGTATTCACGCTCCAGATCTTCTCCAAGAAGCCTCTGGGAAAATCGGAGCACTTCTACTGCATAGAGGCAAGAGACAGAAGCAATAAACAGTGCAGCCTCCCCATTAGAAGTCTCTGCTCTGGGTCATGAATGTCCCCACTTTGGACAGCCTTCTCCTCTCTGACTTGGCTCATCCTCCTAATCCAGGATTCTTCTGAGTGGGCCAGTAGGCTTCAGAGTTCAGTTTAGGAAACTAACAGAAGGAATAACAGAAAATGGCCACACTCCTATAATTGCAATGTGTCTCCTTGGGAAGTGGGCAAGTTGGGAGAAAAAGTTGTGTGGGTAGATGGAAAATTCTGTGGTTATGTGGAGATATTTGGGTGCCAGAGGCACGCACCCTTGTCTGCCCCTTTGTCTACCAGAAGTCTAAAACTCAACAAGGACCATGATGTGAATTAGGAGAAACCCTCCCTGCTCTCTGCTGTGGTTATAACAATCACCCGAAGGCCTGTAGATCTACTTAGCAATAGTGGTGCAGAGACTTCTTGTCAAGTTGGCTTCATTCCATTCTTTAGGGACACCTATGCATGCAGAGAGCCACTGGGCAGGCGTGTAGCACTGCTAGAAGGAGGAGCCATCAAGCACACAGCTCCAGGCTGTGTACTCCAGCAATCCCATCATTAGCGCCTTCTGAAAGCCTGCCTTGTTCCCTCCACTTTACTTTCAGTTTCTCTCATTTAGATTATATCAACAATCTCTTTACTGGTCCCAGGCTTCTGATTTATCTTTCTCTTAGTCCTTCACAAGAATGTTCATTCTGAGGCATGCAGGATGTCATAAATTATAATCCCAGTGTTCCAGAGGCTGAGTGAGGTAGAAAGATTGACAATTCAGAGCTAGCCGGGACTATACAGTGATACCCTATCTCAAAAACCAAAGTAAACCAAAGCAACTACAGGAACAAACAAAAAACCCAAAACACCTCTTCTAGAAATTTGAACAACTTACTCCTTATTTAAATCCTGGTAGTGAATCCTGTGGCTTAGACATACAAGTTTCTTCATGATCCAGCTTTTCTTCACTTTCCCCATTTCATCTTCCTCCCTTTACTCTTCAATCCCATACATTAAATTGTGGCCATATAAACTTTTACCCACCACTGGTGTGCTGTGTGAGCTCACACCTCTGTGTCTTTGCCATTTCCCTGACTTCTACCTGGAGAATAACTGCCTGTTGCTACAGTTCGGACCACCCTGAAACTTAATGGTTTCCCACAGTAATTGATTACCTGCCCAGATTTAGCTGAGAGCTCCTCGTTTGGGGTCCTTCCTGTAGTCAAAGTCTGATGTTTCTTTATACCTATGCCTGGAATTTGGGCTAAGGTGGTTAGGGCAGTCTTTTTCTTTCTGTCCCTCCCTCTCTCTATCTCTAGATAACTTCTCCTTCTCTAGATAACTTATATGAGAAGCTACTTAAGCGTCATGACATCATGACAGCCTCAGAGACATGGTAGTTGGCTTCTCAACATACATGCATTCTGAGAGGCCCTGGTAGAAACTACAGTCTCCTTCAGGCCTAACTTTAGAGTTCTCTTAGCATCATCACCGCCATGTTCTTTTGGTCAAAACCTCACAAGCCAGCAGAGATCCAAAGTTGTGAAGAAATAGAGCCCCTCTTCTTTGTGGAATTAGCGTGCTTGTCTAAAGGGGCTAAGAGTTGATGGAGCCATCTTGGAGATTAACTGCATACAAAGTCTTTTGTCCTCTTGTTCTGGCAGATTCCTATTTGCTCATATAATATTCCTTCTTATGTCACTCTTGTGAAGTCTCCCCCCATTAGCAAGGCAAGTCTTTCCTTCATATCCAAGAAAAAACTTCCAGAGAAAGGGGGAAGACTTTTGTAGACAATGACCAGTTACCCAGCACATTGCATTGTTTGCTGCTGCTGGATTTGATCATAAATCCTCTGAGAGAAAGGCTGTTACTGACTTATCTTTGTGTCTCTAGAATGTATAGCTCAGCAATTGATACATGGGTACTCGGTAAATAGTGACTGAGGTTTATGCATTGAATTGCTGATGAGTTATATACTTTTGCACTAAAACTCGGCAATCAGTCAATCTCACTGAATGTGTGCAGGCCTTCCTTCATTCCCAGTGGTGAGTCACATATGTTGATCTCCATCAGTTCTCTACATTTTGAGCTTCCACAAAAATAGTAATTATAATACTGAGAAAGTTTATCATGCACCAAGAATGGGACTGGGTATATCATATTCATTATTAATTAATTAGACCTCACAATAATCTTACATTACCTATGATTATTCCCACTTTATAGAGGATGAGTCACGGGGAAGCTGAGTAGGTTTCTCAAGGTCACAGAGCAGAGTATAGACTGGGCTCCAGTATTCTCTTTTGTTTTTCTGGTGATTTTGTTTGGTTTTTCTTTTGAAACAAAAGCATCCCTCTACAGCTCAGGCTAGCCTGGAACTTAAACTCCTGCCTCAGCCTTGAATGCTGAGGTTACAGATGGACACCATCATACCCAGCTACTTTGCAGTCTGTGTTGCCTCACAGTGTGCTCTCAACCCATGTCCAGAGGTAACAAGGGTGTCATATGAAGAGCACCAAAGGACTAGTTAACCTGAAAAAAAAAAAGTATCTGTGCAAGTCCCAATGGCTTCAAGTAGTCGTGGGGTTGACAGGTTCCTCTTGTTTACTGTAGCAGTCAGGAGGGAGATTGTTGGTGCCCTGGCTTACAAAAGCCTGGCTCAGTCTTCCCTAAGAAGACCCACACATCTATGAAGATATATGTCTGTCTTCTTTGACATTTATGGGATCTCCTCCCTTGACAACTGTTTCACAGTCCATGAACAGTGTGGTATTTCTTCATTAGCATGGGCTTTTGAAAGAGAAACTCACATTGTTACCTTTTACTCAGTTTTCAGGGGGAACGAAAACTGGGCTTCCATGATCACCTGCTCCAGTTCCTGTGGGTCTTTAGGTAACCAGAAGCTTAGGCACCCCAGGAGCTTAAAAAATGCAGGAGTCATCAATTATCAATATCTTAACCTTTTTGCAAGATTTCCTGGAACCTATTTGAGGCATACCGGTTTCTTTTTGAATGCTGAGAAAATTGTGAATTTCGTTCTGCAGAATCTTCTGTGTCCATAATTGTCAGTTGGTACCCTCCTCTGACAAACTGCTGGACTTCAGTTCAACAGCTACATGATGTAACCAAGAAAAACAGTGTGAGACAGTTTTGTTTTCCTGCTCATGATAACAACTAAGATGGCATATTGAAAATAAAAAAGCACAGACGTTGACTAAATACACATTGATTTGATAAGGCAATATCCCAGAACAGGCACCAAGTCCACATGTTCTGCAGCATCCTTTGAAGGCTAGAGCATCAGAGAGAAGGCTCATAAGGTAATGTGAGGTCAAAGTCACAGACATTCAGCCCCATTTTAACTTTGTGCTTCTTTCTTTGTCTCCTATCTCGCAGCCAAGGATCAACCTTCCCAGGGGGACGAAGAGAAAGATCCTCCGAAGAGCCACCCTTACTCTGTGGAGACCCCATATGGCTTTCATTTGGACTTGGACTTCCTCAAATATGTGGATGACATTGAGAAGGGACACACCATCAAAAGGATTCCGATCCACAGAAGAGCCAAGCAGGCTAAGTTTAGTACTTTGCCCCGAAACTTCAGCCTTCCTGACAGTGGGGCTCGAACCTATGCTGCTCCTCCCCAGCAAAACTGGTCTCCAGTGGTGCCCAGAAAGATATCTCTGGGGATCCAGGAGCAATCCCAGTCACTGCCGCTGGGTGATGTCCCCCAGGCCTCAGGGCATGGCAGTGAGCTGAGCTATCACAGGAAGGTCCTGTTGGCAGAGGGTATGAGGCAGGTGGAGGCTGGTGCTCTGGAAGACGGTGGGAGTGGACGGCCCCAGCTTTTAAGAGCATCCAGCATGCCTGCTACCCTGCTGCAAAACCGGGCCCCTGATGAGCCCAGCCTGACCTCAGGTCCTTCCACACTTCTTGCCCTCCCTCTGCTTCAGGGTGAAGGCAGTGCCTGTGACAGGGCCTTTGACCCTGCAGAAGGGTTCACAGGTTTCCAAGCATCAACCCAATCAACAGACAGAGGGTTGGGAGAGCTGGAACCAGCAATTCCAGAGCTGGTCTGGGAGGGGGTTGAGCCTGAAGAAGGTGACATAAAGGCTTCAAGTCACCTCTCTCAGCCAGGTTCTCCCTCCTCAGTCCAGAATGTACCCATGGTTCTAGAAAATATGGGAATTCAGCACCAAGCCAGAAAAGCAGAGGTGGTGTTAACTCCTGGCTCCTCCACACCCAGCCCGCCCCCTCTGCCATCCCCCATCCCTGAGAATGAGCTCTCCCTGGAGGAAATTGAGCTCAATATCAGTGAGATCCCACCCCCTCCTCCCATAGAGGTAGATGTGAGGTGCATTGGTATCCAGGTAACAGAGGAAAGCCTGGGCCTGGCGGGGACAGACACCAATAGTATCTCCAGCCTGAAGAATCAGTTCTCAGCCCTTGAGGACAAGTTGTCAGGGAGAACAGAGGAGCTTACCCAGGTCAGAGCTGCCCTTGCATGGCAGCAAGAGGAGACCAAGGCTAGGGAACAGAGGATCCAAGAGTTGGAGTGCACTGTAGCCCAATTAGAAGAAAAACTTAGTCAAGAGAAGGCCAGTGATGCTCTGGACCGGACTGATGCCACAGTGAACACCGACCCTCTTCTTGAACTCATCCCCAGAGAATCATGTGATAAAAACATTGGGGTCAACCTGCTGAGAACCCCAGATCCTGAATGCTGGACATCTACAGCAGAGAGGAATGGCTTCCCATGGGTCCAGAATAGTCACAAGCGAGGCCATCAGAGCCCTGAAGGGCCTGTGCTGCCACCAACCCAGCTGTCACTGTCAAGGGGACCTGAGCAGGTCCTTGCCTCGTCCTTATGCAGCTGCCTCTCCATGGAACTCAGGATTGAAGAAGATGTCTCTGAGCAGGAGAGAGGCTCACAGGTGGGGGCTGAGGACTTGAGCAGGGTGACAGGAGCCTCTTCCTGGAGCAGCACCAGAGAGTCTGCCTCAGTGATCAGAGAGGAGGCCAGCTCAGAACTCCCAGGGGCAGAGCGTCCAGGAAGGCCTGCAAGTTCCCCACAAGATGCCACGATCGGGCAATACGTTAAGAAGATCCAAGAGCTACTGCATGAGCAGTGGAACTGCCTGGAGCATGGGTACCCGGAGCTGGCCAGCGCCATCAAGCAACCTGCTTCCAAGCTCAGCAGCATCCAGAACCAGCTGCTCAGTTCCCTCAACCTGTTGCTCTCTGCCTACTCAGCCCAGGCCCCAGAGCAGAAGGAGCCACCTGCCCAACCCTCCGCCACCCCTCCACCGCCACCGGGTAAATGCTGATGCCTGGGACCTACTTCTCCTGTACACGACAAATTGTAGGGACTAGGGGTTTTAATTATGAGTATGTTTTTGAAAAAGATTTTAATATCCTCAGGCACTCGAGGGAATAAAAACTGATCTGTGGAGGCTTTGTTGCTGGATTGTGTCTAGCTGCAGGGCTTCCACATACAGTTAAATAGATAGACAGGTCACAGAGATACCCAGCATGGAGGGAAAGCCATTTGCCAAGCCATAAGCCTGCAGCACCGAGTTTTCCCAGAGGGTACCTTGCCTTCAATGCATTATGCATAGGCCATGTCAAAGACCAAGAATGGTACTTCCTATACACTCCTCCTGGGCCTTCTTTTTTTGCTTCCTTGGCTCTCGCAATTCCCACCTTCCTCTCTGGCTTTTCACATCAGGTTTTCTCTAGCTTGAATTTGAGGGAGCATTATAATGAGACCTGAAATAGTTCATTTGATATTTGAGACATAAGAAAATGAGGGAGGAATGGGTGTGAGGGGGGAGGGCAAGGAAGGGGATGGGAAGGAGGGAGGAAGGGATGCTCATATATGGAAGTTAGCCCTTACCTCAGCAGGAATGACTAAGACACCACACACACTCTTCACTGTTGAGCAAAGCTGAACCATATAGTGCCTGCCTTGGAGAATACAAGTCAGCTCCCTGTTACAGGTCACAAATCTGCTACTTTCTCACTTTTCTGCTACTTCTAGATTTGCTGTGGGGAACTGTCTTCCATGCCGTTACATAGCACAAGATTTGTGACCCGGTTCACGTATCAGTCATGAGTCCAATGTCATCACAGGTAGCAACTTGCACAGTATCCGAGAAGGACTATTGAGATGCCTCTGAGTAGAGATAGGTATAGACCGCCATCCAAAGACCTGAGTTCTGCCATACTATTCTGTGTGCAAGTTTGAGCCCCAGATTTCCCAGCTCCGAGATAAAGACAATGCTGACACTACACACATGGTTCTGAGAAGTGTTCCAATAGCTACTCTGTCATCCACATACAAAGAGTGACATCATTCCTAGGGACAGTTCTACAAACACTGAACACAAGGGCCTCTGACTAACAGCCCTAAAACATCTAGTCTTCATTATCTGCCACCTGCTTGTTTCTCCCTTCTCATATAGCCATATCCCCTTTAAGCAAGAATCCTAGTCTGGCCGCCCTAAGGTCATTCTAACCTGTGATATTGTTTGTGTCTGCCTAGAGATCTCTCCATCGACCAGCCTTAAATCCATAATGAAAAAGAAAGACTATGGCTTCCGTGCAGGAGGTAATGGGACCAAAAAGAACCTTCAGTTTGTTGGGGTTAACGGTGGGTAAGCATCGCTTGTGAAGCTTGGACTGCTTTCCCTGCTACCTAACCCACTGTTGTCCTTAGCACCCTCATCCTGGGGGACACATGAGCATCTCATTCTTCTGCAGGGATTCAGTCTCCATGGCCTGTTGGATTTGCACATGTCTGACTCCTTGGCAGCTGCGCTGGTCTGTTCAAACCTCTACTTTTAATGGCTTGTCCTGGTCTCCTCAGGACCCACCTCCAGGGGGCTTGTGGGAGCTTCAGGGTTTCCGGGTCCTTTGAGGAAGGTCCCTGACTTGAGCATAACACTGAAACTAGAACAAGCTTTGCTGGTTTCTTGATCTTCAAGTTTGATCTCTTTGTTTATTTATGGTGCTGAGACTTGAACCCTGGTCTTGTACACACCAGCAGGTACTCTATCTACCATGACACCCCCAAGCCCAATCCACTTATCTTTTTCTTCCTTTAATGTACTGCAAATGAAACCCAAACCAGCTAGTCCATCGAAACAGAACATGAGTCAAGCCTTCTCTAGACTGGGGGATTTGAGTATTAAATATGGTCATGTGTCATCTAGAAACAAGAATGCATTCTGAAAAAGTCATTCTTGGGGATTTTATCACTGTGTGGACATCAGAGTACTGCATAAGCAAAGGCATCAGTGACATCACTAAGCAATATATGATCTGGGGTGTTTGCGGTTTGTGGTTCAATGGTATGCTCCTAAATTGTACCTGATGCATCCTAAATTGGTCATTTTACAAATGTGCATTAAAATACAGCTATATGCTTGGTGACAAGGTAAAAAAAAAAAAAAGAGGCAAGTAAATCCTAGTTGATACCTTTAACTCACAGGTAAGTCAAGAAACAAAGAGAGCCCGGTAAAATGGCTTAGCGGGTAAAAGTGCTTGTCACCAAGCCCAAGGACCTGAGTTTAATCCCTAGGACCCACAAGATGGAAGGAGAGAACTGACTCCCTAGGACTGTCCTCTGACCTACACACACACACTGTGATGGGTGTGTGTGTGTGTGTGTGTGTGTGTGTGTGTGTGTGTGTGTGTGAGAGAGAGAGAGAGAGAGAGAGAGAGAGAGAGAGAGAGAGAGAGAACATAAATGAATAGATGTAATATAATTCTAAAAAAATAAGGAAGGGGGAACTTCTGATTGGCTATTCTCTTGATGAGGAAGTACAGGATGCTACAGAAGCCTGAAGGAGTTCTAGCCCATACCTGAAAAGGCCCTGATGGCTTGGCCGTCTTCCTTTCTTCCTCTTTACCTGCCCTGCCCAGAAAGTCTTCTCCTGGCCATTTCTCAGTATTTGGAGCTCCAGAACCATGGTGCTCAGTGTGGCTGCACATCAGGGACACCAAGCTTTGGAAATTCTTGATTGCAGTTATGGAGCCTGGTGCAGTTAGTTTGGGGTACAGTCCACACACTGAGAATGATAAACACTCCAAAGGTTCTGGTGTATAACCAAGGTTGAGAGCCTATATTTTACACCCCCCCCCAACACACACACACACAGACACCACACACACACACACACACACACAAGCCCAGGATAGCCTCATGCTCAGTTCTCCTTCCTTAGTTCCCTGAGTGCTGAAATGGCAGGTGTGTATCACTGTGGCCAGCTGGAACCTGTGTTCAAGTTGAAGTAAGTCTTCCTCCCTTTACTGTCATTTTATTTATGGCTATTATCACTTTAGAGCCTGTGTGGAGCAGGTATTGAGGGGTTCACCACTGTCAGATGTAATCTAGGCTGAAGCAGCGAGGCTAGGGGAGGACTCCTGGCCATGCAGAGAAGTGAGGCAGTTCAGGAATCTAAGGTGTATGTAGGGATGCTAACCTAGACTTGAGTGTCTCTCTGGATTGAAGAGTAGGTTGCAGAAGCATGTACTGGTGTTGACATGAACCACTGGCCCTGGTCAAGAAGGATGAACCAATTGACTTTTGTGTCTTTTCCTAGCTATGAGACCACTTCCAGTGAGGACACCAGCGGGGAGGACAGCTCCCCTGAGGACGTGTCTGACAGTGAGACTGAGAAGAAACGTGATTGCTCAGAGCCCAGACAGGGCAGAGACACACATCCCCCCCGTGAGGCTGGGCAGGATGTCCCCGAAGGCACTGGTAACTCAGGCCAGACAAGTGGGTCTGGGGAGGAAGTCTCTCATCTGAGGCCTGAGAGGTGAGTCACATAGGTAGAAATGGGACATATGTCCCTCTAAAGAGGGGCGAGAGCATATTTCTCCTTCATTTAGTCCCATTGTGTGTGCGCACCTTTCCCATCTGTTCAGCATTTTGCTGAGATTCTATTTTGTGCCAAATGTGACCCCAGCCCCCCGGATTCCCTGAGGAATAATCCAAATGCATTTTTGTTGGCACTGTAAATAGGACAGATTTGACAGGTATATTAGGAATCCTCTTAGTAGTCCCTGAAGGTAAAACTTCCTACAATCTTTGCTTTGCAGATGTGGAAGCAAAAGCATTGGAAGGTGAGGGGATGCCCCAAGTAGGGCAAGGGTTTGAGCCCAGAGCCTTCTGACTTTTGCAGTTTCTTCTGCCAAAGCCAGAGTGCTGGGATTTTGTGGCAGTAGCACCACACTTGCAGTTCCTCACTTTGACCATCAGGGTCCTTAATTTACAGTCACCTTAATGTCATCAAAGCAGATAGGTTTGATCTGAGGACTGTGTGAAGAAACGCTGTGAAATGCCCCCACAGAGGAGGCTCTCGATACATAGAAATAGGCCAGTTACAGCCACGGGCATCACCTCTGCCACCCTCAGCCCGGGTTTGGAGGATGGAAGAACAGAGCTGACTGAAAATAGGCCCACAAGGCTGCTCCATTGCAACAGCCCAAGCTGACCATGCTGTTAAATCTCTATGAGAGAAGAGGTCCTCACAATAGTGGGACAAGTGCCTGTCACTGTGACACCTCAAACTCACAGCTCCTCGTATTACCAACTCTGCTTGAGTTAGTTGTTTCCTTCATGGGGGACTAACCAGAAAAAACTGCTGGTGTAGGTTGGGTTGTTGGATTTTTCGGGGCATCCAGGCAGGAAGGGATTGCTTTCCTTCCTGGCATGACAATAGCTACCATTGGGCCTTTGCCCTGACGGTTCCCTTATCTGCTTCAGCCCCTGCCCAAAGCAGCATGAAAAGAGTGCTGGACCCATCAGAAGTGCTCAGATGCTGAGCCACATAGAACTATGAGCGGCCATGTTTCTTTCTTTCTTTCTTTCTTTCTTTCTTTCTTTCTTTCTTTCTTTCTTTCTTTTTTTCTTTCTCTCTCTGTTTTGTTTTGTTTTGTTTTGTTTTTCAAGGCAGGGTTTCTCTGTGTAACAGCCCCACCTGTCCTGCAACTACCTCTGTAGACCAGGCTGGCCTTGAACTCACAGAGATCTGCCTGCCTCTGCCTCCAGAGTGCTAGAATTAAAGGTGTGTACCACCACCGCCCGACATGCCATGTTTCTTAGGAATGTCCCTCATTGTGGTGTCCAGCTTGATCATTTCAGCTGCTGAAGGTGAAAGTCTTTTTTGTCAGCATATTGAACAATATACTCTCTCTTTTCTTTTTAGGTGTAAACCGTCAGAGGAATTTCTTAATGCATGCCAGGCACTGAGTCAACACCTGCCAGAAACCGGGGCCACCACCAAGCAGCTCCTGGTACTCATACTTCCACTGTCCCATGGAGGTTTCCAATGGGGCGACTTTGGTCCCTTACCCGAGGTAGCGAGTGTGTATGCACACAGTCCTCAGGCATTCTGTGATTTATCCAAATGCTGTTACCTCAGGAGATGGGCTAGGCTGAAGGAATAGAAAACTAGCCATGGGCTCAGAGGCATGTTACCAAGTATTTTTAGAAGCCATAACCAAGTGCCTGCCACTAAACTCAGTGGCTTAGTCTCCAAAATGCCTTGCAGTTCAACAAAACCCTGGGTAAAGTAGAAAAGGCATGTGGAATGTGACCTTGGTTTTACTTCTAGGACTTCTTCCAAAGGCAGTTAATTCAATGCACAGGGCCTGGCTTCCTCATCAGTAAATGACAGTGACTGGTAGCCTGTCTCCATCACCCTTGAGTCCTCACATTTGAGTCTACCGTGTTACTGTTTTGCTTAACAGGTATTGATGGGTCAAGAGACCAAAAATGATCTTTCCCACCCTTATATCCCATGTAGATTTGAAGCTAAATCCTTTCGTTCTATTTTTAATCAAGAGCTACTGGCCTGAGCCAGGAGACAGCTGTCAGACCCAAAGTGGAAAAACCTGTAAGCACTTTCAAAGCCCATTGCTCCCTCAGCAGAGCAGCCCAGAGAATAAAAATGATCAGTTCAGCAGTGCTTCTTACTCACCCAACCCATTTCTGTTTTTTTTTTTTTCCTTCCTTTTTAATCTTAGTTGATTTGACAAAATAGCATTTCCCAGACTGTTAAGGATCCAGTGCATGAGATGGGTGTAGATGGAGACTCCTGGTACTCAGATTATACCACTAAGCTGTTTTGACTATCTGTTCATTCATTCATTCATTCATTCATTCATTCATTCATTCATTTCTTTTGAGATAAGGTCTCATCAGTCCAACCTGACCTCAGACTCATTATATAGCCAAGCACGACCTTGAACTTTCTTCTGGTCCTGCAGCCTCCACCTGCACTGTGCCTGCTTTTAAGTGCTAAGAACTGGACGCATGCTAAGCAAGCATTCCACCAGCTTCAGCTCCGTCTTTAAAATCTACCATTCTATTCTGTCATACTAGGGCTTTCCTCCAGATTTTCTTGGTTCCCTAGATAAAGAAGATATCCTGATATATGGAAATGTTTCAGCCACAGATAAGTCTGCTGTTTCTGCTCTGGAAATGTGACAAAAGCCCATGTGTATACAAGCTTGGCACCACCCCACATTAAATCAAACGATATGACCTGAATCCCTTCATCTCTGCCACCTTGCCCCTGCCTAAGAGACAAAGTAGGTTATAAGATTACCTCGCCCTATAGAACCATGGAAACAAGGAAGTCAGCTCCATTTTAATACAGGAACAAGAAACAGTCAATGAGGGTGTATGGTCACACAGCTGAGCCAGGGCTTCCATCTGGTCATGTCGTTTTAATGCCTAAACCTGGAGCCACTTCCAGAATAAGCATGAAGTCATTTATAATAACCACATCCCGATAGCATCTCTTGTCCTTTAGATAAATATTCTAAGCACGTGGCCTTAAACATTTAGGCTTGACACACACAGAGCTGAGGTCTCTACTTGATGTTTGTTTTGTAAATGGTTGCCAATGGACTGGGAGAATCATACCAACATCAAGGGTGCTGCAGGATTCTTGGTCCTGCCATCTCAGATCCCCCAGATAAAACACAGGAAGAGCTGCAGGGGTGTGTAAGAGAGGCAGAAGCATCACAGCTGATCTATCCAAGTGTCACGGAGAGCTCTAACCAGGGTACCTAGGCCAGGGAATCTCTTGTAAGCAAATCTTCTGCCATTTCAGAGGCAAAGCTTGAATACCATCAGTCAAGAGTGGTTCCGCGTGTCCAGCCGGAAGTTAGCTAGCCCTGCAGTGGTGGCCGCCTACCTCCTCGAGGTCCAGCCTCATTCCCACCTGCTGAAGCTGCTCGTCAACCTGGCTGACCGAAGTGGGAACACAGCCCTTCACTACAGTGTGTCGCACTCCAACTTTGCCATCGTGAAGTTACTGCTGGACACAGGTCAGAAATGACTCTGCCATCTGCATTCCTCTTTGAAGGCCCACGTTTTTGTTCTTATAAAATGGGATCTTTTTATGTTGCCCAAGATATCCCTGAGCTCCTGGACTCAAATCATCCCCCTGCCTCAAGCCTCTTGAGTATGTGGGACTACAATGAGGGCCTTCTTGTATCACACTCCCTTCTCATCATGCTGAGTTCCTCTTGTGGTCCAGGAACAGGCCCAGACCATTTGCCTGTTTCTTTCTTTCTTTCTTTCTTTCTTTCTTTCTTTCTTTCTTTCTTTCTTTCTTTTTTTCAAGGCAGTGTTTCACTGGGTAGCTCAGGCTAGCCTTGAACTCACAGAGATTCACTGCCTCTGCCTCCCAAGTGCTAGGGTTAAAGGTGTGTTTTGTTGTTATTGTTTTTTCTTAATGCTGAAATCTTTACAAGTGTGTATGTCTTCCTTGTACAGGGCCCATGCTAATCTCTGATCATCCCATCTCTTAGTATATGCACTGCAGAAGCAAGTCCCCATTTCCTGTACACTGCCATTTATACTCTGCACTATTTCTTGGCCCTATGGTGTCATCAGTATGATCCCTCTCATGTTGCAGTTGAGCAACTGAGACTTGGGGTTATAGACTGTGCTCGGGTCATAAAGCAGATTTTGCATTTGGTTTGTCCAACTACAGAACAATGCCACATCTTAGGAAAGGCCATCTTCTCTTGTCTTCATTTAACTATTTAACAAAAGCATGGCTCCAATGAACCAATTTGACTCATGCACCTTTCATCAAATATCTGTTGATTTCTTATGGCTTATGAATTGGGGATGCAAAGATGATCCAGGAGTGAGCCTTCTGTTTCAGCTGAATGTGTCATTCCTCAAAGTCAGTGAAAGATGTCAATCACTGAGCTGTCACACTCCCAAACCTGGGCTCCCTTCAGAGGGCAGTTGTGAATACTCAGAAAGTACATGACCAAGTGAGTCGTTATTGAGAGAGCCATTAAGTACCCTTCTGTGGGCCACTTTTAGTGAGGTATTCTTTATTTTGCCTGAATGCCACTGTGGCTCACCGAGTGGAAGCATGCTTGGTTGAGAGCTTTCCCCTGTCTCTCCTCCATGAATGACTGACTTTTTCATTGGACATTGTTCAAAAGCAGCTGCTGTAAGAATCGGGGTCCTCAGCCTCCTTCTGTGCTCTGGAGAGGGGAGCGAATCACTCTACTGTTCTATAAATCATGTTTCTAAAGAGATACAACAAAGCTGCTAACCCGAGGCATTTACACTTCCTAAAGCAAATATAAAGCAGTCAGAGATAACAATCAAAATAAGAAGGCAACACAGGTATCTACTTCTTTTTTAAATTATATTTATGGGGGTGGGGACACATGTGCCACAGTATACACGTAGATAGAGGTCAGAGGACAATTTGTAAGAGTCCGTTCTCTCCCTCCACTCTGTAGGTCCCCAGGGTTGAACTCAGGTTGTCAGGTTGGTGGCAAGTGCCTTTACCCAGTGAGCCACTTCACTGGCCCAAGGTGTCCACTTCTTTATCAGGTCATAGTTGTGATGAATAGAGCTGTCACACAGCCTTTGTCATCTGCCTGATCATGACAGTGGTCGGGTCCTCAGGGAGAAAACTGTGGCTAATGAGATGGATTCCGTTGTCTGTGTTTGTTGTCATCTGTGTTCCTATGGCATACTTCAGAAATATTCTTTGAGTAAGATAAAGCAGTGTTTTTCCCTTTCACAGAACTTATAGGTAGCCCTCATAGACATCTTTCACAAACCAGATTTGTTGTAACAAATATCCAAGTCTACACAAGCGTCACTCTGAATGGTAATAACAACAGCTGCCAGTGGTCTCTGGTATTTACTATATGCTTTTCCTGATGATTTAGCCATAAATTTTGCAATAGCCTTAAAAGGTAGGTCCCATTGTCATTCTCTCTTAGCAGGTGAGGATACAGCAGGCTGCGCTGTCCTGGTCTACAGAAACAGATTTAATTTTGCCTCGGCCACACAACTTTTTCTAATGAGCAACAACACGAAACTGTCCTGGTTGGGGGGTGTGCTCATTTGGATCCCAGGTCTCAGTCTATGTATAGTAGCCCTGCTGCTTCTTTGATGCAGAAGGACACGGAAGTGTAACCCTGACCTGTGGCTCAGGTGTGTCTTTCAAATTATCATTTACCACCTTATCTTAAAAATACCTTAATTTATCACTCTATCATGAAAGATACATTCTCCATTATTCCGCTACAAGAATTAGGAAGTTCTTTTCTGCCCTCAGAGCTTTTCTGTTTGTCCTGTATTCTTTTCACACACTGGTACATGGTACATGAGCCCTTGGGTAGGCCCTACAGACTTGCCCATTGTTTTGAACTCCACACAATATGAGCTAGCAAGAGTAGCCTGTGGACACACCTGTGAGAGCTTTGTGGCTAAAAGAGGGATGGACTCAGGTGCCAGGCAGTCCCAAGTCCTGGTCCCTCCTCCATCGTGTGCATAGTTTATGTGACCTCTCTGGCTTTTAAATGTCCACATCTAGAAAGACATGTGTGTTGTGTCCAGGTTTTCAAAATAAAGTCATTGTCATTGACCCCTTATCTGTCTCTGGCCCTTTTGTGGTCCTCCCTTGCTGGGCATCCTGAGAAAACCAATAGTGAAAATTAGCCAGTTCTAATGGCTGCTAAGAATGTAAGCCAGTGACTTTGCTGTAGAAACACTAGTCCATGTGTTTTAGCAGCTAGCCGTGTTCGGTTGAACTGTTGAAGTCCAGTCTGGCTCCAACCCGGCTGTTCTAGCACTCATTCCTCCCCTTGTAGGTGTCTGCAATGTGGATCATCAGAACAAAGCTGGCTACACTGCTGTGATGATCACTCCCTTGGCTTCTGCAGAGACAAAAGAAGACATGGCTGTTGTCTGGAAGCTCTTGCGAGAAGGGAACGTAAACATCCAAGCAACTCAGGTAGGTGGATAGCACTTGATCCTTCTGCTTCTGGACAAACATAACATCCCCCAGTTTTATTCTGCCAGTATGGTGAAGAGTTCCATTTATATCCATGGAGTGTTTTCTACTCCAGAATGCTGGGACCATAAATGGCACCTACCCAAAACCCCAATACTTGATCTTCCTTACAGGCTCTTGGGACCAAAAAGACTGGCACAGGGGTCACTGAGCCATCTGGTTTGTGCTCCAAACTAAAACAGAGCAATTTCACTTGGATTTAAATTCTCCAACTAGAATCCTAATGTTAGCCTCTTGGGAAGGACTTTGCTGGTCAGCTGCTGTAGTCACTTGCCTCTGGGACTCACCAGATCAATATCTGGACAATACCCAGGACACACTTAGGAAGCTCAGTACTTTAGAGTTATTACTGAGCATCTCTAAAGCCTTTTTAAGAAAGATTTTGTTGTTGTTTTGAGACAGGATTTCTTTGTGTAGCCCTGGCCATCCTGGAACTTGCTCTGTAGACCAGGCTGGCCTCAAACTGAGAGATTTTCCTGCCTCTGCCTCTGCCTCCCAAGTGCTGGCCCTAAAGGCATATGCTACCACACCCAGATATTTTTTAAATCATATTTTATTTGAATTAGAAACAAGATTGTTTTACATGACAATCCCAGTTCCCTTCTCCCTCCCATCCTCCCCTACCACCCCCCAATAAAACCCTACCTATCACATATCCTTTCTTCTATTCTTCCCCTGACTCAAGCTTTCTGCTCCCTCATGACCTCTGCATCCCTTTTCTTCCCTTCTCATTCTCATAGCTCCTTCCCCCATCTTCCCATGTTCTCAATTTGCTCAGGGGATCTTGACCCTTTCCCTTTCTTCAGGGGACCATGTATGTCTCTCTTAGGGTCCTCCTTGTTTACCAGCTTCTCTGGCAGTGTGGATTGTAGGCTGGTAATCCTTTACTCTATGTCTAAAATCCACATATGAGTGAGTACATATCATGTTTGTCTTTTTGTGATTGGGTTACCTCAGCTCAGAACGGTTTCTTCTAGTTCCATCCATTTTCCTGCAAATTTCAAGATTCCATTGTTTTTTTCCTCTGAGTAGTACTTTGTTGTGTAAATGTACCACATTTTCTCTATCCATTCTTCGGTTGAGGGGCATCTAGGCTGTTTCCAGTTTCTGGCTATTACAAATAGTGCTGCTATGAACATCGTTGAACAGATGTCCTTGTTGTATTGTAAGACCCCTGGAAAGTTCAGGCCTCCAGGATCTCAGCCCAGGACCATGGTCACCCCAATCACCAGGCGGATTCAAAAGCTTGATGCAAACTACATGAGGCTTTATTATTGTTTAAGGAGCTAACCCCATGGCAGATGCCTAGAAAAGACAGTTCGAAGTGTCTGCATAGAGATCTTGTAGGGCAGCATAAGGGGAGTGTCTAGGGGTAGTAAGACCCCTGGAAAGTTCAGGCCTCCAGGATCTCAGCCCAGGACCATGGTCACCCCAATCACCAG